CACACACACGAACAAATGACTTCTGTGTTTCTTTAGAGAACACATCTATCCACAGGATTCATCTTCGTACCGACTGGACATCGGAATGTCTCAGTAAACTCCCGAGTGTGTTTCAGGATATCATTGACACTGAAAGTAAGGAACAGGGGAGTTATCAAGATGACACCCATCAAGGAATAGTGTGATGCACTATTGTAATAATTTCTTCACAGGTACACCACAAGAATGGTGACTTTATTTACTGAAATAGATTTAACGTAAATGATTTCAAATTAAGGATGCTAAGTCTACACTGTTGATGATAGTGTACCTTTGTCATACTGACGTTACTACGTTGTAAAACTGAAAATATATTTGGTGTGGAGTGATACAGTTGGCGGTTGACAATTGATGACCAGAATTTTGAACGGATAAAGTTAATAGAATTTTAAATGAACTTAAGGATTTACAATTGGATTACCTGATATTGTAGTTTTGAGGAGACGAATGTAACTTGTAATCGACCAGATCAGGAAAGAAACCATCACACATCATCTTTAGTTATAAAGAATGGATGGTATTGAAAAAAGAATCATGAAAAGTCAATTAATGTTTAAGAATAATAACTCAGTGAAGGTAAATCTTGAATAGTTTATTGTTTATGGCGACTGGAAACTAGTGTCGAGAAAAATCAAGCAGCCGCTTCAAACTACACTGTTTAACATATCAAGATGGATAATAACTAGAATGGAGACAAATTGAATTACTATTTGACTGTGATACAATTAACCAAACAAGACAGACTACGAACCAATCAATCAGTTCATGTTCCAATGATGTTGTATTTATGCTGACAAACTAACGTGCGATTTATGAAGAACGTGAAGTTTGAACTGACAGAAAAAGCTGATACATCACCGCACTTGAAAGAAGTATCGTCTGTACTGTTCAATTACCACTCGTTCAATGAACGAGCATTTCTTCATCTGTTAAGCATTGCATCATTATCAAATCACCTCTCTAGAAAATCACACTTGAAATCCTACAATCAGTGCATGTTTAGTTCGTCTGTCTTCTCCAAACTGCTCAGTAAAAACATAAAAATTTACTTTTCAACATGTTAATCAGCAATGCGTCTGTTAACGATAATAACAATACTGATAATGATGGACTTGTTAAACATGTTAAACCATCATTTTTCCCTTATTCTTCTCTTTCGTTCACTCATAGGATTACGATCGACTTATTTCCATATCCATGCTCTTTCAGATCACAGATCATTCAAACTACTACATCCCATCATATCAAGTCATGTAACATCTCATTTAGAATTGCTAAGCATTTGCAACTCAAACTCATAACAACTGAATCTTCAGTTTCTTAACAATAATAATATTTTGGCGTTTATATATATTCAACTTCTTTGTTATCATGTTTAACAAACCTCTCACAATTATCGTCATTATCAACCTAACCATTATTAACAGACATTATTGGTTGATGGCTTTAGAAATTCATCTATGTCTGCGATTGCACAGTTTGGAAAATAATCTGCCAAGAATAGAACTCATCACAACCAATATTTCATGATCTCATGTCTCAAAAGCTTCAATCCGTTTACTCAAACGTAGTGCTCTAATTTTCTTTTGTTGTATAAAGTGTTTGTTTCACAAGAAAGTTGGATTGTTAGTGTACTAATCAACTGCTCATCAGTGATAATAACGCACCACATAATACATGAATAGAACTGCGGAGAAATGTATTCAAATGAAGCTCAGTTAGTGTGCATAACTTACTCGAGCGAATGCTGAGAAAAATATCTTCTCTTCATTCAAATCAACACGACCCCTCAAAACGTGTTTCTTGTATGTCTGGAATAAATATAAATCAATTAAAAGTAAAGAATAATACATACGAATAAGTTTTCTATTATATATATTCGTTACTTTTGAATAAGACTCCTTAAAAACGTCAATATTAAATCCTTCACATAGAAGCAGATGAGTAAGTTATTTGAAGACTTTGTAAATAATCCCAACCTCAAGTCGCATGAATATATTTATGATATTTGGATAAGTAAAATGAAAATTTCTTCAACTTCGTACTTTTATTCATGTCATTCCTTTTAATTGAAATAACCATCCGCATTTGTTTTGTTTATTTGGTCCAGAGTAGTGAAGTTTGTCACGAAACACCATAAATTCTAATTTTTCGTCATCGGAATTTTACAAATACTTTAGTTGTTTATGATTGTAGACAGTTTTAGACAATAATTCAATCACCAACAAAAGGTTCTCTAAAATTGCACTGACTTATTCATAACTTTGATGGGTGATTCAAGCTTTGACAGATGTTCTAGAACATTCATATTCGTTTATTGGACTCGTTGAATCAGAATGCGGTAAACGTATGTTTTGAGTAAAAATATTAGTGATTAAAGAATAATTTTACCATATCAACATTCACTTACTTCAAGGGATAACAGAAGACCATTTATATCAGCGGACATTTGTTCCATTGAAATCTAGTTGGTATGAAAATAGTTGAGATGACAAAAAGTTTATTGAATATCTGTGAAAGTATATCCAGTAGTCTAGTCCTCATTTATTTCACATTAAGTCATGTCAGACTTGATATGAATCCGTTGGATTGGACTATTTTGAACTAAACATTTGCAGAATCGACAACATGACTCTAATGCTACAAATGCTGTTTCGCGGATTGTGGTTCAGTAAAGCATCACACCTTGCACAGTCAGCATGAAGGTATTAGAAACCTATGTACAGCTGATCAGTGGAATCCGAATGTGTCTGATCAGGCACTCAAAGGATGATAAGTCCTTCGATATTTCGTCGCCAGAGTGACACATCACAGGGTTGTTCATGAGGTTGATCAGTAGTTGATATTTCTGGTAAAATCAACAGGTTCAAATTATCAATCCACATCATACTTGTTTTATCCTTGAACTAATATAGGATATTTGTTTGCGTCCGTGATAACTGAATTTTGGACAAGTGCTTCATTCAACTCTTCTATTATTTGTGATCTACTGCATTTGTTCGTCTCTTCATAAACAGCCAGATTATCAGAGATGCACTTGCTAAGTGGAAATCAATCATGTCAACAATATTTGCCTTACAAATTGAGCTCGCGGCAATTAATCCAGTTCTGTGGATCCTAATATAAAACCCAGTCATTGGACTTGAATCTGTTGAAACAACAACATGATTGCATAATAGATCCACACATCTTCTCCTGACAGTCAGATAAACATCACTCTTAAGTGCATTTCTCTGTTGAAATTATTCATTACATCGGAATGAATGTCACCGGAATTCAATCGATCAGCAGAACAAAAATCAACAGACTGAAATGTCAAGTGTCTGTTTTTCTGTCTACGTTTTAATTCAATTCAAGTGCTGCCTCGTTAATATTCCGTAATTTCATTTCGCATGATATTTCTAGTGAATTGTTCACGTCAATATTCACACCTACTGTTTGTAATAATTCCAAGTTAGGGAGAGTTTGATACATTATTCATACTCTACATGAAGATATCATATGTTTTGTCTTATTGTTATAAAATATATTATTCGTCGAATAAATATCACCTTAAATGTGCATGTCATTCAGACATTTACTCCTGAAAAACAAGTTTCCCAATTGGAATACCAAAAACTGTGCAATAATCAAACTGTGTTAGGACAAAATGCTCTCTTAATAGACTACTTACTTTGTTTTCAACAGCTCGATGAGTATTTTGTTTTGATAAACAGCACAGTTGATTTTCAATCGGTGATGTGTTTTCTGGTAGACATGTTGACTGATAGTTCTCCGGTTTATTCAAATGACCTTTACTAAAAGCTGTAATGTGAACGTCAATTAAACATTAGTTATTCTTCAGAAATAAACATAAAGGGAGTGTTTTAATTCAGGACCACTGTACAGGTTATCATTGAAATATATATGTATTCGTAGTTATCAAAACAAAATTCAGTGAGAAAAATTCCTCTTCATCAGTTAGTCTTCAGAGCTCCACATAGTCAATAGTATCACACTTCTTGATTCATGTTTCACAGTTTAGAATTGTGCAAACAAACAGTGACGTTTCTATGGAGCTGTGTAAGTTAAAATGTATCAGTATCAGAAACTGTATTTATTAGTTTTGAATTCCACTTTTAACACTCATTGAAAGCTCTCAACTTCGATTTGTAAACTAATCAGAATAGACATTCTCAACTTGCACTGTAATCAACAGTAATTCAATTCAGATTTATAGGTTATGATACGAAGTCTGTACATTTCATATCACTTTAAATAAACATCCTCAACTTGCACTGTCAGTCAGTCAGTCAGATGCAACGTAGAACTTCGTCCGTAAGTACATCAGTTCATGTCGCCATACCACATCAGCACAGAGATGTAAATGTCAATTCAAATCCAATAGTAGAAGAGGTAGTAAAGGTATTAGCAGTAATCGGAGAGGTTAGGATTAGAAGATATTATTCAAGATGTATGATTCAGTGGGAAAATTTTACAAAGTTGAAGAATCCAGAAGATTAGGATTTGAGAGAACACAAAGAATAAATGCACTGGCGCCACTGCGAGCGGTTGTACTGTAATCAACAGTAATTCAATTCAGATTTATAGGTTATGATACGAAGTCTGTACAATTTCATATCACTTTAAATTCGATTGGCAAACTAAAATGAAAAACTATCTCGTAGATCTTGAGTGAATTTCACATGAATGACAAATTTGCATTTGTACTATTTTCATTTCTGATAGATAGTTTTAAAAAAAATCACACTGGTATTCACCAGTTTAGACAGATTTAGTAACTAAACAGATACTGCTCCGCTATTCGCTAGATACAGCTCACTTGTACACAATCAACACTACTAAGTTAGTCATCTGCCGAAGAAAACCAGATTAGCAAATCTTAACTGTTCGTAATTAATTCAGAATAATCAGTTTTGTCGATAATACTATTCAGCAAGATATAATACAGTAAAAGTTACCTCCAGAGATTAGTTGACGACCAATAAGTGAACCAAGAATCCCATATTTTTCAGACTTTGATTCCGATGCGTACAGAAACGGCGGATGCAACAATGCAGCAGATATACTTATGGAATCAGATTCGTCAACACCAGAAATATATGGTATGAAAGTGAAGATTCCAGTTCTAAATATGTGTGAATATGCAAGAAACATTAATTAACTCATTGAAAATGATAAACGTTTTAATCTTGAGAAATGAGTAGGTGACTAAATCTGTCATCGAAATAATTTGGTGTAAGTCTTTTCAGTGACGATGCCTTACAAATAATTATACTCAGTGTATATGCTGTTTGATGGAAAAGACTTTACCTACAGTTATCAAATAAGAGATATGCGTACTGCATACTCTTTAAATAATAATCAGGAGTTTGATGTTTGAAACTGAAACCACACGATACTGAGGAATACATCATCTTTTACAGAGCTACGACGTATGACTACTACTGAGAAATCTCCCGATAATATTTGATATCATGACTAAAATTTTAACTGAGGGTAAAATTCAACTGATCACATTGATTGAAACGATTGTTAATATATGAATCGTCATTACAGTGCAGTTTGAACAGACGATAGTTAAATTTAGGAAATCAACAGAAATACCCATCAGTAAGCTTTTTTCTTAACAACTACTCGAGTTCAACTTCCTCCTGATGATTGATGGTTTAGGGGTACAACAGAAAAGAAGCATAATCACCAGTGAATAAATGTCTGGAAATTTCAATCTTGATCCAAGTCACTACATCGGTATTGCATGTTCCATATATATTATTCGATAAATGATTGGAGGAAACTCTGAGATTATTGCTTCTTTTGCTTTTATTCTAGAGAAACTCCCCTAAATGAAAAAGAAACATCACGACAGACCATCAAATAAAATATGTTTTGTTACCACTGTCAGGACGAATTATGAAATTACCACTTGAAACAAACAACTAAAAAATACAACTCACAAGTCAACGTCATTCAGGATTGCATGCATAGATCTAAGAAATTCAGTCTTTTGGGAATAGTACACATTCAAGTAATGGTTGTTGCCAGAAAATTTATTCTGAAACAAAAATGAAGCAATTTTACAGACTGTCTTTATAGTCAACAATTCGTCACATAAAGGGAAGTGTCAGAAACTTTATTTCCCAAGTGTTCAAACCAGTGAACTCCTATTTCCGCAAACGCAGAACTCAGCTAACTGTAATACGCTTGTAGCTAGCTACACGATCCTATGACGGCTAATCGACTGCTCCAACCATAGTAATATCAGTCAAACGTTCTCGAAGAAGAAACTTAACAAGGAATACTTTTTATCCTAACCCCGAAATTCGTTCTGTATATTATTGGGAAACCCGACAATCGTTTAGTGATAGACTTATAATTAGTAAACCAGCATGAATCTGAATATCAAATCTGAAATAAAATAGGAATAATGTATGTGTCAATACCCTTCACTAAGTCAAAGTAAAGACAAAATATGTTTGATTTGATAATATCACGCTAGTCGCTAGAATCGAAATGGAAGGTCAAGGACAGAGTGAGTTGAATAATATTAGTCTTCAACCCGTGCTCCATCAGGGGCTTACATGCGCATGCAAGTAAGTAAGTGATCTCAATGAGAAGTAGAGTTTACTGACAGTTACTTACTTACTTACTTTCGCCTGTTACCCCAAATGGAGCATAGGCCGCCCACCAGTTTTCTCCAACCAACTCTGTCCTGGGCTTCCCTCTCCAGTTCTGTCCAATGTTTGTTCATTCCTCTCATATCTTTCTCTATTTCACGGCGTAATGTATTCTTTGGCCTTCCTCTTTTCCTTTTGCCTTGAGGGTTCCATGTGAGGGCTTGTCTCGTGACGCAGTTCGGTGCTTTTCGTAGAGTGTGTCCTATCCACTTCCAACGCTTCTTCCTGATTTCCTCCTCCACTGGAATCTGATTTGTTCTCTCCCACAGTTCGTTGTTGCTGATGGTGTCTGGCCAACGAATACGAAGTATTTTACGTAGACAGCTGTTAATAAACACTTGTATCCTCTGGATGATGGCTTTGGTAGTTCTCCATGTTTCCGCTCCATACAGTAGAACTGTCTTCACATTTGTATTGAAAATCCTTATTTTGGTGTTGATTGATATCTGTTTGGAGTTCCAGATATTTTTCAACTGTAGAAATGCAGCCCTTGCTTTGCCAATCCGTGCCCTCACATCTGCATCGGATCCACCTTGATTGTCGATGATGCTGCCCAGATATGTAAAGGTGTTAATGTCCTCCAAGGCATCTCCATCAAGAGTGATTTGATTGGTGCATGTTGTGTTGCATCGGAGAATTTTGCTCTTTCCTTTATGTATGTTGAGACCTACTGCTGCAGAGGCTGCTGCTACACTGGTCGTCTTCTCTTGCATTTGTTGTTGAGTGTGCGATAGAAGAGCCAGATCATCTGCGAAGTCCAGATCGTCCAGCTGCGTCCTAACTGTCCAGTTGATACCGTGCTTCCCTCCAGCTGTTGACGTTTTCATAATCCAGTCGATCACCAGGAGAAAGAGAAAGGGTGAGAGTAAGCAACCTTGCCTCACACCGGTCTTTACCTCGAAAGAGTCGGTTAGCTGTCCTCCGTGCACGATTTTGCAGTTGAATCCATCATAAGAGTTCCGTATGATGTTAACTATTTTCTCAGGCACCCCGTAGTGTCGAAGAAGAGTCCATAGTGTTTTCCTGTCCACGCTATCGAATGCTTTCTCGTAGTCGATGAAGTTGATGTAGAGTGGTGAGTTCCATTCAATTGATTGTTCCACAATGATCCGTAATGTAGCAATTTGGTCAGTACACGATCGATCCTTCCGAAATCCAGCCTGTTGATCTCGAAGTTGGGCGTCTACGAAGTCCTTCATTCTGTTTAACAATACCCTGTTGAAGACTTTTCCTGGTATTGAAAGAAGAGTGATGCCTCTGTAGTTCTCACACTTGCTGAGATCGCCTTTCTTTGGTATTTTGATCAGGTATCCTTCCTTCCAGTCTGATGGTACTTGTTCCTCATCCCAAATCTTCTTGAAGAGGATGTGAAATATTTTCGCGGTTGCTTCTACATCTGCTTTCATTGCCTCTGCTGGAATGTTGTCTGGTCCTGCGGCTTTGTCGTTCTTGATTTGTCTGATGGCCATACTGATCTCCTCAATCGTAGGTGCGCCAATATTAATTGGGAGGTCCGTGGTTGCTGCTTCGATGTTGGGTGTCTTCAGAGGAGCTGGTCGATTCAATAGTTCCTTAAAGTGCTCCACCCACCTATTTCGCTGTTGTTCAGTGTTGCTGATTACTTTGCCTTCCTTGTTTTTCACTGGTCGTTCTGGTTTACGATAGTTCCCGGCGAGCTTCTTTGTTGTTTCATACAATTGTCTCAAGTTTCCGTCTCTTGCAGCCTTTTCCGCCGTCGTTGCTAGATCTTCCACGTATTTTCGTTTGTCAGCTCTGATGCTCTTCTTCACTTCCCTGTTTGCTTCTGTATATGCAGCTTGTGCGGTAACTTTCTCCGCTCTTGTTCGGCTGACATTGATTGCTGCTTTCTTGTTCCTCCTTTCTTCAATTTTTGCGAGAGTATCAACAGAGATCCATTCCTTATGATGCTGCTTCTTGCGACCAAGGACCTCCTGACATGTTGAAGTGATTGCCTCCTTAATCCCTTTCCAATTGTTCTCCAATGTTGTGTCCTCTCCATTGTGTAGATCCTGAAAGGCCTGGAACCTATTGGTGAGGGCTATCTTGAATTCGTTGAGCTTTACAGTATCCCGAAGAAAGGCCGTATTAAACTTGTGCGATGTTGTCTGTCCCGTTGTCCAGTGCTTCTTTAGTTTCAGTTTCATTTTGGCGATTAGCAAATGGTGATCTGAGGCTACATCAGCTCCTCTCCTGGTTCTCACATCCTCCATAGTCCTTCTGAACATTTTGTTGATACAGATATGATCAATCTGGTTTTGAGTAGTGTGATCCGGTGAAATCCATGTAGCTTTGTGTATGCGTTTGTGCGGGAATATTGTGCCACCGATGACCAGTTTGTTGAAGGCACATAGGTTTGCAAATCTCTCACCGTTTTCGTTTCTTTCTCCCAGTCCATGTCGTCCCATGATGTCTTCATATCCAGTGTTGTCCATTCCAACCTTGGCATTCAGGTCTCCCATAAGAATAGTCAAATCCTTTGGTGAACATTTATCGACGATTGACTGCAGCCTTTCGTAGAATTGATCTTTGTCGTCGTCATTGTAGTCATTGGTAGGTGCATAACATTGGATGACGTTCATTGTAATGTCCTCTTTCTTTGTTTTGAAGGATGCTTTAATGATCCTGGGTCCATGAGATTCCCATCCTATTAGTGCCTTTTGTGCATGTTTGGACAGCATCAATGCAACTCCTTGTGTATGTGAAGCATTTTCCTCTTCATGACCAGAGTATAACAGCAGTTCCCCTGAAGCTAGTCTCAGTTGTCCTACTTGTGTCCAATGTGTTTCACTGATTCCAAGCACCTCGAGGTTGTATCTTTTCATTTCTGCCGCAACTTGAAATAGTCTCCCAGTCTCCCACAATGTACGAACGTTCCATGTACCTAAAAAAATGGTTGCTCTGGTTGTCAGAAGAGGCATCAGCCCCGTGACTTCCGAGGGAACTCGGCTTTCATCACGCGACGTCATAATTCTTCCTCCAACTCCCAGGGCAGAGTTAAAATGGTTTGAATTATTTTTTCTGGTTAGCGTTTTTTTGGCAAGTTAGATTTCAACGGAATGGGGCCGCCAACCCCATGTCCAACCCTCCTCCTTTACCCGGGCTTGGGACCGGCAGTAGCCCCGAAGGTTCTACTGGCGGAGTTTTACTGACAGTTATCGGAAGAAATTTCGAGGTCTTATGAAAAGATCGTATCGATCGACAAAATAATATACCAGAGAAAACAGAGGAATAATGTAAACCATGAACAGGTCAAACCTCTAAAGAGTGATCTACATAGAGTTCAAAGATCGAAGGTTAATCAAGTACGACAGTCTGATTGAATGCTTTAATGTTTATTCTTGAACAAATTGTTCCATTTAAATACTCTAGATATTTAGTGTGTTTGTAATTGTTTAGTTAGCAAGGGATACATTAAAATAATTCATTGAATAATTGCACTTTTGAAGAAGGTTTCGGAATACGTGAGAACTCACGGAAGTTTATATATTAGTGTCTCGATATACAGATCGATCTTATCGCTTACAACACTGCTAAAATAAAGCTGGATCTTCACATGTTGGAATGAAAGAAGATTAAACTGTCGTATTACATAATTACAGAATACGTGTTACACTGAGGAATACTGAATAATCTGCAAGGATTATCTTGAATGAAACAGACTGCTCTCACCCACCAAGTAGAAGGGAAACAAAAAATCCATTTATCGAGTAAAATGTGCATTTAGAAGTGGAAATATTGAGCAGGGACAGATATGAGTACATTGCTGCATGTAAGAGCACATCCGAAGAAACTGAACTTTTATCGGTGCAACCATTTAGCATTTTATCGATTTCTGGAATCGTTTCAACGCAATTTAAAAATTTAAAAAGGTGGAAATTTTGAAAATTTGAGAAAAATTTGAGACCCAAGGAAAACCATCATCCACTTTCGGGTATTTCATTATCATTATGGATAACCTTTGCGAAAGGTCTCAATCAGTCATAAGATTCGAGACCGAATGAAGGAGACTGCAAACCTGAATCCAGAGGTAAATGAGGATGACAAAATCTGTCGGGACAACCAATCAGATACGACGTAGTTGGAATGAACCAATATAGTGTTTGTGGAATACCAAAAATCTCACTTATGTTGGAAGGTTAATCTAATTGATGAACACATTTCATTTCACATTTTTCCGTTATTCCATACATGACTATTTTTCGCTGTGTCAAAACGACAGGAAGTAGTTGCTTGACAGGTTGATATATTGTTCAAACTTCAGTGGTTAATGTTTGCCGATTGTCATTAATAATTGTGAACTTTTATTATCCAACAACATAAAAACATCTATGGTTTTCTGTACATGTTTGACATGACAACCATTCCAAATAAAAGTTCAATACTTCATTTCTCTTAAAAGAAGTTTGTATATCCATAGCAACAGTACATTTTATTCATCAGGCGTAAACAAGTGAAATGATTAACAGATTGAGAATATTTCACTGGTTATATAAAGTAAATCATTTAATAAGCAAATTCATTGATCATTAAGTCAGTGAACATGAACCATGAACAATGTTAGTGTTAAACGTGGAGAGAACTTACTTTGAATACTAAATCTCGGTTGTGTTTGTCGTCTTCACTCAACGATTTTGATGTAATTATGGATAAACCAAAATTATCAATCTAAATAATGCAACAATGAGTTATTGTTTACATAATGTATAAAAGTTAAACAAACCAATTCGATAGCCTTATTTCTGTCACTTTCATTGTACCATAACTTTTTTGAAAATGATTGCGAGAAAGTTTTCTTCAGTTTATCGAACATTTCATAAACCTATGGAATATAAACAGAGATACCGATCAAAGGGACTACCAAAGCAATGCAAATTAATCAATAATCATTGTATCTAATAATCATTATCCATAACTGATTACATTTTTTTCTTAAAATCAAGATATCTCATGGGTAGTTATGCTATATACATAAGTGTATTTATTGAAATTTGAACAATAGGTATAAAATAGTTTATCATATTTGAAACTTACCTCTTTTTTCATACTCTCACTTATATCAGAATAATCGTGATATTCGTTCAGTGTCCACTTGAAAATTTTCTTCACTTCGTCAATACAAGTTGGTACCTCTTTATCTAACACGTTTTTTGAAAGATATTAACATTTTGTTACAATACATTAAATAATGTTGGAAACAGTTATTTCCAAAATTTCTGATTGACATTCAGTAAATGCTCAACAATCAACAAATAATTTCAATTTTAAATAACAACGATCACCGTGTCCATGATTGCCATCGATTTTGCTCGCCGCCCAACTAATTTTGTCCGTAATCGTCCTACTAAACTGTCCTCGATCGCTTTCAACACATATCATGTTCAATGAATCATTATTGAACTGAACATTCATTTCAGGTGTATTTCAATGTGCATGTTAATGTTTCGCTTATTTAAAAACTCCAATACGAGACAAAGCAATGAAAATAGAACAAATCGATAGTGCACCAGAGTTATATAATTGACAGTTGTACTTACAGTTATCAGAAGGATAAAACTCTTCGAAATCCCTATTCAAGGTTGTTTTCATATTGTACAAGAAACTAATCACAATCATATTGTGTATTTTTCTACAAGAATGGTTACAAAAACCATGTGTTTTAGTAATAGTGAGTCAAAATGTAATTCAAAATAACAATAATGATCATCTATAGAAAGAGAAGTCTACAGATCTAAACATATACTGAAAGTACAATATACAGACAACGTTGAGTGGTCTGTTAGTTGGTCAGGAATGGTGAACTGGTTATAAAATGAATAACAGCCAAAGTCAAGTAAATATCATTGGAATGAGAAGCTAAGTTCAGAATAATGAACCCTTACATTTCAAAATATTCTTTGTAGTAGGAGGTAAAGTTCAAGTTTCCTCATTATAAAGTCGGGCTGGAGTAATGAGTTAGCGAATCTTGAGTTTATCACTTGAATAGGCCCACAGAGTTTTCGACACCAGTTGAGACCGACTTTGTTGCATAAGAAGAAAAGCATACTAACTAGCTTCACTAAACATTATTGACAATAAAATGATTCATAACAAGACGTTTAACCAACAAATTGCTTTGAGAGGAAGCAGTTATGTTTTGCAATTTACCTTAAGTACTATTTCAAAGTCTTTCATCAAAGAAATTGTTGCTGATTTTGAAGCATTTTAAAGAGTATATATTACCAATTCTTACTTCGTTATAAATAACATACCACTATTTGTTTATTGCTAGGCTGTAGATTTTGCGTACAGTACATGTGCCGTTATCTTAATTCTGATTGGGTCAGTAATGTCTGTCAGTAAATTATAATTTTACCTATGCATATGTTCTATCTACCTATTGCAAATGTTTTTTATATATTTTCTTTCTCACGATATTATTCTTGATAATTCAACATGGAATCAATTCACACGATAATCTATGTATAAATGAAATTGATGATCTAACTCATTTAGCAACGTGATCATTCTGTCAATGCAGTTAATCGTGACCAATTTCAAAAAACAGAAATGAGGTTACAGGCAGAACAGCGTCTGCAAATAATTATACATGTTAAATTATCACGATGATTTGAAATTTTATCATGATCACGAGATAAGTTTGAGCTTCCGATATTTTAAAAAATTACGAAATCATCTACGGTTTGCAAGTCACTGTATCACCAAAATATGTTATTAGGGATTTCGATACTTTGGAGTATCTCCTCTCTGACTGAGAGCTAACGAAAACAATCTGAATTCTGTTGATTACTGAATAGCTATTTTGTCAATCTATATAATATATGGGCAGTATTTATATATATAAATATATATATATATACATTTACTCAGTCATTATGCACTTCCAATACTAGTTAAGTTACATAAGTGATACAAAGAATATACAGATAACCAACCAACTCTGTCCTGGGCTTCCCTCTGCAGTTCCGTCCAATGTTCGTTCATTTCTCTCATATCTTTCTCTATTTCTCGGCGTAGTGTGTTCCTTGGCCTTCCTTTCTTCCTTTTGCCTTGAGGGTTCCATGTGAGGGCTTGTCTCGTGACGCAGTTAGGTGCTTTCCGGAATGTGTGTCTTATCCAGTTCCACCGCTTCTTCCTGATTTCCTCCTCCACTGCAATCTGGTTTGTTCTCTCCCACAGTACGTTGTTAGTGATCGTGTCTGGCCAACGAATACGAAGTATTTTGCGTAGACAACTTTTAATAAACACTTGAATCTTCTGGATGATGGCTTTGGTAGTTCTCCAAGTTCGGGCTCCATACAGTATAACTGTCTTGACATTTGTATTGAAAATCATGATTTTGGTTTTGGTTGTAATTTGTTTGAAGTCGCGGATATTTTTCAACTGTAAAAACGCAGCCCTTGCTTTGCCGATCCCCGCCCTCACATCTTCATCGGATCCACCCCGGTTGTCAGTGATGCTGACCAGATATGTGAAGGTGTTAACGTCCTCCAAGGCATCTCCATCAAGAGGGATTTGGTTGGTGCATGTTATGTTGCATCGGAGAATTTCGCTTTTTCCTTGATGTATTTTGAGACTTGCTGCTGCAGAGGCTGCTGCTACACTGGTCGTATTCGCTTGTATTTGTTGTTGCGTGTGCGATAGAAGAGTCAGGTCATCTGCGAAGTTCAGATCGTCTAGCTGCGTCCTAGCTGTCCAGTTGATACCGTGCTTCCTGCAGATGCTAACGTCTTCATAATTCAGCCGATCACCAGGAGAAAGAGAAAGGGTGAGAGTTGGCACCCTTGCCTGACACCGGTCTTCACCTCGAGAAAGTCTGTTAGCTGACCTCCGTGCACAATTTCGCAGTTGAATCCATCATAAGAATTCCGTATGATGTTGACTATTTTCTCAGGCACACCGTAGTGTCGAAGAAGCCTCCTTAGTGTTTTCCTATCCACGCTATCAAATGCTTTCTCGTAGTCGATGAAGTTGATTTAGTGGAGAGAATTCCATTCAATTGATTGTTCCACAATGATCCGTAATGTAGCAATTTGGTCAGTAGACGAACGATTCTTACGAGATCCAGCCTGTTGTTCTAGAAGTTGGGTGTCTGCGAAGTCCTCCATTCTGTTTAACAATACTCTGTTGAAGACTTTGCGCGGTATTGAAAGAAGAGTGATGCCTCTGTAGTTCTCACACTTGCTGAGGTCGCCTTTCTTTGATATTTTGGTCAGGTATCCTTCTTTCCAATCTGATGGTACTTGTTCCTCATCCCAAATCTTCTTGAAGAGGATGTGAAATATTTTCGCAGTTGCTTCTACATCTGCTTCCATTGTCTCTGCTGGAATGTTGTCTGGTCCTGCTTCTTTGCCGCTCTTGATTTGTCTGATGGCCATGCTGATCTCCTCAATCGTAGGTGCGTCAATATTAATTGGGAAGTCCGTGGATGCTGCTTCGATGTTGGGTGGGTTCAGTGGAGCTGGTCGATTCTAGGGTTCCTGAAAGTGCTCTACCCACCTATTTCGCTGTTCTTCAGTGTTGCTGATTATTTTCTCTTCCTTGCTTTTCACTGGTCGTTCTGGTTTACGATAGTTTCCGGCCAGCTTCTTTGTTGTTTCGCACAATTGTCTCACGTTTCCTTCTCTTGCAGCCTTTTCCGCCGTCATTGCTAGATCTTCCACATATTTTCGTTTGTCAGCTCTGATGCTCTTCTTCACTTCCCTGTTTGCTTCTGTGTATGCAGCTTGTGCGGCAACTTTCTCTGCTCTTGTTCGGCTGACATTGATCTCTGCCTTCTTGTTCCTCCTTTCTTGAATTTTTTCAAGAGTATCAACAGAGATCCATTCCTTGTGATGGTGCTTCTTGCGACCAAGGACCTCCTGACATGTTGAAGTGATCGCTTCTTTGATCTCTTTCCAATTGTTCTCCAATGTTGCTTCCTCTCCATTGAGTAGATCCTGAAAGGCATGGAACCTATTGGTGAGGGCTATCTTGAATTCGTTGAGCTTTACAGTATCCCGAAGAAAGGCCGTATTAAACTTCTGTGATGTTGTCCATTGCTTCTTTAGCTTCAGTTTCATTTTGGCGACCAGCAAATGGTGATATGAAGCTATATCAGCTCCTCTCTTGGTTCTCACATCCTTCATGGTCCTTGTGAACGTTTTGTTGATACAGATATGGTCAATTTGGTTTTGAGTAGTGTGATCCGGTGTAATCCATGTGGCTTTGTGCGGAAATATTGTGCCACCGATGACCAGTTTGTTGAAGGCACATAGGTTTGCGAATCTCTCACCGTTTTCGTTTCTTTCTCCCAGTCCATGTCGTCCCATGATGTCTTCATATCCAGTGTTGTCCATGCCAACCTTGTCATTCAGGTCTCCTATAAGAATCGTCAAATCCTTTGGTGAACATTTATCGACGATTGACTGCAGCCTTTCGTAGAATTGATCTTTAACGTCGTCATTGTAGTCATTGGTAGGTGCATAACATTGGATGACGTTCATTGTAATGTCCGCTTTCTTTGTTTTGAAGGATGCTTTAATGATCCTGGGTCAATGAGATTCCCATCATATCAGTGCCTTTTGTGCATGTTTGGACAGCATCAGTGCAACTCCTTGTGTATGTGAAGCGTTTTCCTCTTCATGACTAGAGTATAACGGCAGTTCCCCTGAAGCTAGTCTCAGTTGTCCTACCTGTGTCCAATGCGTTTCACTGATGCCGAGCACCTCGAGGTTGTATCTTTTCATTTCTGCCGCAACTTGAAATAGTCTCCTAGTCTCCCACAATGTACGAACGTTCCATGCACCTAAAACATGGTTGCTCTGGTTGTCAGAAGAGGCATCAGCCCCGTGACTTCCGAGGGAACTCGGCTTTCAACACGCTACGTCATAATTCTTCTTCCAACTCCCAGGATAGAGTTAAAATGGTTTGAATTACTTTTTCTGGTTAGCGTTTTTTGGCAAGTGAGATTTCGACGGAATGGGCTCGCCAACCCCATGTCCAACCCACCTCCTTTATCCGGGCTTGAGACCGGCAGTAGCCCCTAAGGTTCTGCTGGCGGAGTTTTATATATATATATATATATATATATATATATATAAATAATTATATATGTTAAAATATCACGATGATTTGAAATTTTATCATGATCACGAGATAAGTTTGAGCTTCCGATATTTTAAAAAATTACGAAATCATCTACGGTTTGCAAGTCACTGTATCACCAAAATATGTTATTAGGGATTTCGATACTTTGGAGTATCTCCTCTCTGACTGAGAGCTAACGAAAACAATCTGAATTCTGTTGATTACTGAATAGCTATTTTGTCAATGTATATAATATATGGGCAGTATATATATATATATATATATATATATATATATATATATATATATATATATATATATATATATATATATATATATATAGGGCTTGAAGATACTCAGTCGTTATGCACTTCTAATACTAATTAAGTTACTTGGAATGTTATGTATATAAGTGATACAAAGAATATACAGATAACATGTGATAGAATGGTTTTTATTCAAATAAATCGCTTCGGAAAGCAAAAAACTATCTCCACAAAGATACCTCATGCCGTCTGTTGTTGTCATGGCTGAGCTGAATATATCACACATTCTCCTCAAGACAGCCTTGTTTTCTACAACAATATCCAGATTCACGTATAGTTTATAATCGATCTCATCGAATACACTTTTAAATAAAGCAGCCCATTCAATCTGGTTAAAATAAATAATTTGAAGTTTAAAAATTTAAGGAATAAATTTTGATTAATATCATCAATTTCATGTACGTTTCTGGTATCTCTCATTATTATTACGTTGTAATATACAGTTAGAAACCTCAATCGCAGGCTCAACTTTAATGAACCATTTAGATCTCCTGACTGTCAGTAATGTACATCTTTACAGAAACCATGAACACAACTAGACATCTCATGCAACTGACGCTTTTGAATTGATTAGCTGCATATTTAATTCAAACTACAGGCATACCAATAGTAACTTCTACATTTTTTGAGTACAGGTTGGGAGAACTTAGAAGAATCTTCTCATCATAATGTCATTATCAATGTCCACCAACATCTTAGTTCAATCCAGAGAACTCACTTGAGAAGGGTCCTTGTAATATATTCCTGAAGCTTTGAATTTCCGTATTTTCGAGGAAAAGACGCTTAGCTGACCTTCAGCTTATAGGTCCCATTCGGGAAACCCTCCACAGTCATTGGTTGATAAATTGTTTTAGTGAGCTATTTTGTGTCTCTCGCAAGAGCGTTTCTATCATTGTATAAATATGCTTGAGTTGTGTCCTTGGCAACATCTGCCTTTCTGGGTCCCTGTAGAATACATTCTCTAAGCCTTATAAAGACTTCTTACTTTAGTTAGCGAGGCCTGCGACATTTGGATTAGAACAGCCTATCGTGTCACTGTTTTGTTGATCTCAGTTCTGTTTACCGAGTGATGTGAACTTGCGACAGTTTCAAGCATATCAATCTCACATTCAGTTAATCGTGATTTCAAGCAATTGAGATATTTGTAGAATAATAATTGTCTCTTCCGAATGCTTGAAAAATAGTGAAGATTGCATTCGGTAGAGAAACTCGGTCGTTATGCAAGGAAGTTACAACGTACTACTTTAAGGTTAGATATTTTATCAACTTACTAAGGGACAGGTTTCAACCAGGTCATTTATTGAGACTTTTTCTTCAATTTTGTTGGTTGTTTTCGCCTGAAAAAACCAGCATAACAACATAATACACATTGTAGTGACTTCACTTTTATTAACATTCATTATTATACACAATTGTACCAGTGATTATTTTACTGAGCCGTTTGCTTATTTGTACTTTGTACACGCGAACTTTCCTTCGGTGTTGCTGTCATTTATGAGTACGCTGCTCTCTGTAACTTTGCCCTTCTTTTACGATTTCGTTATTCCTCCTCTGTTTCTGATTCACAAACATATCATACTTTGTGATGGGAGCATAATTGGTTTGTAGTGGTGATCATGTACCGATGCATCTGAATTCAGACATAATTTGCAAGAAAATTAAATGGTAATAGAGGTGTTCCTTTTAACAAACAAACGTCATGCTGTTTTGTATTCATTACATATATTTTTAGCAAAGAAGACATTGAGCTTCTACGAATTCACTCAATCTTGGAAGATCTGTCCCATCAGTTCTATGTAACTAATCTGTTGGAGTTTGTCAGTATTCAAAATCATATGATGAAAATATCATTATAATTGGCTTTACTTATGGTTATTTCAAAAGGCTATTGACATTTTACCCAAAGTAAAGGATTTTATAACTGCTATCAACTAAAATGTCTTTTGAAATAAATAATGCACCATGTACAACGTTCTCGTAGCACTGCCTACTTTTTCCTCAAATTTGATTTCATATGGTAGGTTTACGTCTAGAAGATACAGGTTAGTCGTTCAGCTCAATGTAAGCACACGAAAGCAATAAGTCAGTTCAAGTTATGGATCACCTGGTATGATTTTACATCCTATGAATGTTAGTCAGTGAGATTCAGTTAAAAATTACCCTCAGCTAAGCAGCTAAAACCTTGTTGGATGCCGTAGGATGACACCGATTCATTACAGGTGTTCTATTTGACGAAAATGTAGTTGGCTTTCAATAAGGTACCGCAACCTATGAATTAAATG